CCAACCTGATAGCGATGGCCTCCAACCTAACAGCGATGGCCTCCACCCTAATAGCGATGGGCTCCACCCTACTATTGATGGCCTCCCACCGAGCAATGGCTTCTACACTAGTAGCAATGGCACTGATAGCGATGGCCTCCAACCTAACAGCGATGGCCTCCAGCCAACAGCGATGGCCTCCAGCCTAATAACGATGGCCTCCAACCTAATAGCAATGGCCTACCTACCACCGGTTCAAGTCTGTCGCACCGTGAAGCTGCATCTTTGTCCCCAACCAGCTTGGCCAAGGCACCTTGCCCCCGAGGGCAATGCTTTGCAGCTCGCAGGCCTTGGACAAACATAGAAAATGGAGCGATTATGGGAATCAAGACATTTATGGAGTTGAATTATGATTAAAAGCTATGCCAATGTGTGTCCTCCAACAATCAAACGGATTGAATTACCCGTCTTGACACGTGCCAGTTTTTACCTCTACATCCTAGTCAATAATTATGCAATCGTGGAAGAAATCATTGTCTATGAATTTAAAACATATGATATGAATTTGATGTGAAACTTTGAGTTGCAAGTGGATGCTGACCGAAGGTCGCTGCTACTTTGCAGTTGAGTCGCCCTTGCACAAGGAGCTTCACACCACTTGGCGTCTCATCCCTACAACCTTGGCCAGCTGACAACGTCGTGAAGACCTTTTCAAGCCAGGTAGAAACACCAAAGTGTTTTTACCATTAGTAACTTGAACTTCCACGACCCGCAATGCTTCCATAACACATGCTCGTACCGCGTGCCTATTGATAAAACCCACTGATCACTCTAAGCACCCAGCTTGCTGTGGTTGTGGTGGTTGAAGTCTCTGTGCTGGTCTGAGTACTTGTAGTAGTTGTGGTAGTCGTGCTGCTAGTTGTGCTGGTTGATGTGGTTGTGGATGTGCTTGTGGACGTGCTAGTAGCCGTCTCTGTGTCGGTTTCTGTAGTCGTTTCTGTGCTTGTGACTGTACTTGTCGAAGTGGTGTCTGTCATCGTGTCTGTGCTAGTTGTGGTGCTTGTTTCTGTGATTGATGTTGTGCTGGTTCCTGTGATACTTGTGGTGCTGGTCAAAGTTTCAGTGCCCGTGGTTGTGCCGGTGCTAGTGACTGTTGTGGTGCTAGTGTCGGTAATCGTGGTTGTACTGGTGTCAGTCAGTGTGCTTGTGGTGGTTCCAGTGATCGTTGTTGTGCTGGTGCCAGTGATCGTTGTGGTGCTGGTTCCCGTGATTGTGCTGGTAGTGGTATCCGTGACTGTTGTTGTACTTGTGCCCGTAATGGTCGTGGTACTGGTTGCTGTTATGGTGCTGGTAGTGGTTTGTGTGATTGTTGAGGTGCTGGTAGTTGTTACGGTGGTGGTGCTTGTGTCTGTGGAAGTTGTTGTTTGTCTACCGGTTTCAGTGTCGGTAACTGTTGTAACGGTTTGTGTCCCAGTCGTGGTGCTTGTCCCTGTGATTGTTGCAGTCACGGTGCCTGTAATTGTGCTGGTACTGGTTCCTGTCACGGTCGCCGTGCTGGTGCCAGTGCTTGTGCTGGTACTGGTTTCTGTGATGGTCGTCGTGCTGGTTCCAGTGCTTGTACTTGTTCCTGTGATGGTCGTCGTACTGGTACTTGTTCCTGTGATGGTTGTTGTGCTGGTTGCAGTGCTTGTACTGGTACTTGTTCCCGTGATGGTTGTTGTGCTGGTA